AGAGCTCACCACTAATGCTTTTATCATGCTTTTTTGTTGCATCTTGGTTAACTGACATTCATCCTCTAATAGAAGCTCCTGGGACAAGAGCCCAGATTCTATTTTTTTTCTTTTTGCAGTTTTTTTTGGCTGGGGGCTGGGTTTGAACCCGCCACCTCTGGCATATGGGGCCAACGCCCTACTCCTTTGAGTCACAGGCACTGCCCAAGAGCCCAGATTCTAGACTATTCAAATTATATTTGCTTTTTTCTTATTAAACAATCAATCACTCTTTAACTTTGTATAAAAGTTAACTTTTGTTTTTGAAATCTAATAACTTCACTAGAATGTATCATGATCATTTTGGGTCCATCTTCCTAAGAGATTGTTTGTCTTTACGTAGATTCAATTGTACCACTTCCCCACCCCCCAAAAAAGTATTCTTGAAATATTTTAAATATTTGTTCTATATCTTGGATTTCCTACTTAGGAAAATGAACTATATATGTAGAATATACGTGAAATATCTTTTATACTATCGTCTTTATGCAATCTTCAAGTTTTATTTAGTTTGGTTTCTTTTTGCTCATCTTCCTCATCTCCTTCTGGATGTAAGTTCAGCAATATCTATTCTTTGAAATTCTTCCAGATTGTAATTTTTTTTTCTCTTCCAATTCTTTTCTGAGTTTGACATTCTACAGTTCTTTTTATTAAATGAATCAAAACACCATACTATTTTCTTAACAACTTTCTGGAACTCTTTTTTTTTTTAAGACAGAGTCTCACTATGTGACCCTCAGTAGAGTACTGTGGCATCATAGCTCACAGCAACCTCAAACTCTTGGACTTAAGTGATTCTTTGCCTCAGCCTGCCAAGTAGCTGGAACTACAGGTGCCTGCCACAATGCCCGGCTACTTTTTTGTTGCAGTTGTCAATGTTGTTTAGCTGGCCTGGGCCAGGTTCACATCCCCTACCCTCAGTGCATGTGACCATAACCACTGTGCTACGGGTGCTGAGCCTTTCTGGAACTCTTGTATCATACAGATAGTAAATTCAATTAGTTCTCCTTTTAAAATTCATGCTTTAATATTTGGTCCCATTATTTATCTACTTTGATCAGTTGGCATTTCTTCATATATTATTTTTTTTCCTGATTTTTTTCATCCTTTTTTTCTTGTAATAGCTTTGTATGTGTTTTGTGCTGGTTCCCTGTTGATTCCTTACCTTCAAAGAATATGAGTTTTTTAAGGAATGAGCTCACCGCATGAGTTTTACTTGGGTAGAACCATATCTTATCTCAGGCTAACAGGAGTGCTCCCTATGAACAAGTGTTTTGCACATGTACTAAACTCATGTTTAGCATGCATCAACCCAGTTCTGCCTTCCTTTTTGCCAGAGTAGCCTTTGCAATGGCTTGCTCTGAAGCCAGGTCACTGGGGTTGGCCCTGTTGCAGCTACAGATCTAGAAACATCAATTGTGAGCTGGGCGCAGTGGCTCAAGCCTGTAATCCCAGCACTTGGGAGGCCTGAGCTCACAGGTTTGAGACCAACCTGAGCCAGATAGAAATCACGTTTCTAAAAATAGCTGGGCATTGTGGCAGGTGCCTATAGTTCCAGCTACTTGGGAGGCTGAGACAAGAGAATTGCTTAAGCCCAGGAGTTTGAGGTTGCTGTGAGCTATGATGCCACAGTCTATAACAAAAGGGTCAACAAAGTGAGAGGCTATCACAAAAAAGAAAAAAAAAAAGAAACATCAATTGTGTATTGACGTAATAGACAAACCGAGGCACCCAAGTGGCTGGACTAGACTCCTGGAAGCTCTGGCTTCCCCAGCAGTGGCCTAGAGAGGCTGATGCAATCTAGCAATGTGAAGGAATTACAACTCTACAGAACAGTCTTTGTCTAATGTGAAAGAGGAATGAAAAGGCAGCAGATATATAACATTACCTTCACCTTTCTAAAAGGTTGTTCTGAGACGTGGTGGTTTACATTAAACCTCTCTGAAGATATCCCGCTAAACTGAGCACTCAGATCTATTTATTACAGAACTATGGCTAGTGAAGTCATCAGCACCTTGTATTTTCCCTTCTTCTTAACCAGTCTTACTCCCTATTTTGGTATTTATATAGCAGGTCTGCACATCCTGACCAATTGTTACTAAGTTTTACTTTAAATTCTATGTTGTAGGAATATCAGCTAAGATAGCATATAAGTTTGTTTCCCTAAACGTAGGTGTCAGTGAAGTTTTTTTCCTCAAACAGAAAGTTTCTTGCTTCTTGCACTGTGATAGAAACAGTGTCACTGAAAAATATGACTGTGTCTGTTTCCACTCTTAATCTACTACCTCTGCTTCACAGAACTGCATCCAAAGGAGCTCCAGCCATCCTGTGTACTACACTTATGTTATTCCACAGAGAGATTTAGGCTTCACACCCAAGAGTAAGTGATTTGTCTCTCAAAAGTACTTTGCAAGTTCCTCTGAGTATCAGAAATGTTTTTGTTTTCCACTTACGCGGCTGGTACACACAAACCCCTCTTAAATTTTTCAGTGATTCTTACAGCTTTTCCATTTGCATTGATTTGGGATTTCAGATATCCTCAAGGGTCATAAGACAGAGTTTGTGTTGCTCATTTACCTTCTCTGGAAGATTTGTAGAGAGAGACAGAGAAGAGAGAGAGAGAGAGAAAATGCCTACTCTACACATCCTTCCTCGAAGAGGTTCACTTTCTCTTTGAATGTGTCTGCACTTGGCTACATATTCTCTTTGTGTCCCTTATCCCCAAACTACTTTTCTTTTTCCTTTGCTGAGTTTTATCACTTTCATGACCTTTTTTTTTTTTTTTTTTTGAGACAGAGTCCCACTTTGTCACCCTTGGAAGAGTCCTGTGGCATCATAGCTCACAGCAACCTCAAACTCTTGGACTTAAGAGATTCTCTTGCCTCAGTCTCCCAAGTAGCTAGGACTACAGGTGCCTGCCACAATGCTCAGCTATTTTTTGGAGATGGGGTCTTGCTCTTGGTCAGGCTTGTATTTTAACTCATGAGCTGAGGCAATCCACCTGCCTTGGCCTCCCATTGCTGAGATTACAGGTGAGAGCGACCCAGTGGCAAGTGTCCAACTACTTTCATGACTTCTGAAAAGTAATGTCCCAGGTGACAGCCTTTAGACGTCTCAGATATGTGTATTCCTATCCCAAAAATCTAAAGAGAGGTTATGTAATTTCTTAGCTTTAGACTTTTTTTTTTCAGGCAAAGTTTACTCTGTTGCCCCAGCTAGAGTGCCATAGAAATTCTTCTACCTCAGACTCCTGAGCAGCTGGGACTACAGATGCCTGTTACCACACTTAATTTTTCTGCTTTTAGTAAAGACAGAATCTCAGTCTTGCTGAGGGTGTTCTCAAATTCTTGAGCTCAAGGGATTCTCCTGCCTCAGCCTCCCAGAGTGCTAGAATTACAGGCATGAGCTACCATACCCAGCCTATACCTTAGCTTGAAATACTAAATACAAAACTGTAAATACTACCATACTAATACTTCCTGAATTAATATCTCCAACCTGGACTTCCCTTGATTTACCAGTCCATCTACCCAAATGCTTATCCACATGTAAACTTGAATATATTATAATCACCTGAAATCTGGATTATATAAACAAAATTGCTAAAAATCACTCCAGAACTATTTCTCCCCATAGTTCCCCATCTTGAAAACTGGTACCCACTTATCCAATTGCTGTAGATGAAATCCTTCAAGTCACTCCTTAAATCTTTCTTTTCTCATATTCCTTATCCAACTCAGAAGGAAATCTTATAGGTCCTACTTTCAAAATATATCTAGAAGCCAACTATTTTTAATGGTCTCCACTACTTCTGGCCAAGTGTAAGCTAGATTGCTTTTTCATAGACTGAAATATTCTGACTGATGTTCCTGCTTTCACACCTCTGTCCCTAATAGTATTTTCTTTGCCTAGTAGCCAGAGAGATCAATTTGGAGGACAAACCACTATATGTTGCTTATTAGGTCAAACCATGCCAATGGCTTCTTATTTTATTCAGAATAAAACCATAGTCCCCATTATAGCTCACGTGACCCTACATGATCTGTGCTTCTACCACCTTTTCAACACTAATGAGCATACCAATGTCTGTGTGTCCTCAAGAACACCAACCAGGGCTGGGCACAGTGGCTCAGGCCTGTAATCCTAACACTCTGGGTGGCCAAGGTGGGTGGACTGCCTGAGCTCATGAGTTTGAGAATAGCCTGAGACAGAGCAAAACTCCATCTCTAAAAATAGTTGGTGGTTGTGGCAGATGCCTATAGTCCCAGCTACTTGGGAGGCTGAGGCAAGGGGATCAGGTGAGCCCAAGAGT